AATATTTCTAAATATATACATCTGTATTTCCAAACATAAATAACTAGTAGCATCAGCAATTATCACTTACGCCCATCCCATTTCAAAAGTGAGATGTCAGATGCTTTTAGTCCTATATTGGGGAGAAAGGTGATGTTTATATCCAATAAATAAATCATAAACTGTGTGTAAGTGTGCCCATGTCTTCCTGGAATGTTTAAAATGGATAAGGTAACCTGAATACTAACACTGACCTAATTTTGGTCTAAGACTGATCATTATGATTATTTTTTTCACTCCATGCATCCTCATACAAGTGGGGTATACATACAGCTCTGTATAGATTACATTAGCTGGCTAGATAAGCTCAGTGAGAGGTTCAGAGTTCAATTCCCAACCGTAGCCTTCAGGGAGAGGAGCGAGCCTGTGTGCCTCCAGAAGAAGGAAATAGTAAATCACTTCCAAGTACTCTCTCCCTAGAATTTTTACTCCTCTTTCATTTGAAACTAGTCTTGCTTTCTGTACATGTTTGATGTACAAATTGAACAGCGAAGGAAATGAAACATGCCTTTGTCTGACACCTTCCCCTATGGAAAACAATTCTGTCTCTCCATATTCTGTCCTAGCAATAGGTTCTTGCCCACAATATAGACGATGCATTGGGATGATCAAGTGCTGAGGCACACCCATTTATTTCAAAACAACCCAAGATTTCTCATGATGCACATAGTCAAAGGCTTTGATGTAATTTATGAAGCATAGATTGATCTACTTCTTAAATTCCTTCATGCACTACAGTAGCCAGTGGGCATTTCTTTTTTTGGAATCCAACTTCAACATGTTACTTCCTACTCCAAAAATCATTGTTTTGCTTTCCATATTTGTTGTCACATTCTTATCAGTATTTTAATAGATTCAGTCACTGTTGCTTGAAATAGTTCGCTCGGTATTCCATCTACTCCTGGTGAATTATTTGTTTCCAGTGCTTTCAAATTAACTTTCACTTCACTTTCTAGAACTGCAAGTTCATTGTCATAGAGTTCATCTTCAATGAGTCTGTCATCTTTCTATCTCTTATAGTTCTTCGGTACACTGTTTCCACCTTCTCTTCATTTTCTCTTGATCAGATAGTGTGCTTCCCTATTGGTCTTTCAGCATTACTAATCTAGGCTTCAATTTCCCTGTGATTTCTTGGATCTTCTGGAAGATGTCTTTTGAAGCTTTGGTTTCAATATACGGTTCTGCTTCACAGTCAGTTGAATTTAATAATGGATATCTGTTCCTTATGTGGATGTTAAATTCATCAGAATACTGTATAAATTATACTTTGGCACTACAATTCTTGTAGTGTTCTTTTTCATATTTACTCTGATCTCTTGATATAGATGTTATTTTATTGATCTTTTATTAATCTACACTTTTTAAAAAGCAAATTAGGTGAAATCACCCTCAGTCACAGTAATGTTCTGTCCATCTAAATTTTACTGGAAAATCATATGTGTGAATATTTCTATAATATCTGTATTGTACATCCTGTTGTTGTGCACACAAAAAACAATACTTTAATATATGTTAACCTCTCTAAGCCAGTTACAGAAATGCTTCTTCTATAGTAGTGGCTAACACTGACATGGAGATGTTCCTTTGGATTAAGTCCAACAGAGGCAAATACATCTCACCATGTAGAGTGATGCTGAGTGGAAGGAGTAAAGGGCAGTTTACTAAAATATTTCTTCCAGGCTTAGAATGACATGGGTCCAGTGGAGGCTTATCTATAAGGGCAACTGGGCCACTGCCCCAACTTAACTTCTGTGTCCTATCAGCCCACTCCTGCCTGCCTTCTGATCCCAAGTGGAGAGTCAGGGCAGGTGATTCCCTCCTGTTCACCTCTCAGGCTTATTTATGTACTCTCTTTCTCTCTCCCTTTCCCTTCCTCCCTCTCCCCTCCCCCCCTCTATGTATGCAAAAAGAGGTGAGAGAAGGAGGAAGTGGCAGGCAGGAATACTTCTACATTGTGGACAATGTGCATTTTTCTTAGGTTCACTGGAACTGTGAAGTGAATGAAAGGGGTGGGGGCAAATCAGTGTCTGAGCGAATGCCTGGGTGTGTATATATGTGAATGCTCACTTGCCTCCCTGACTACCTGCATGTGTGTAAATAGCCATCCCCCACCTTGAAGTATACCTCCCCCCCATAGCTTTACCCATCACTGGCTACACTGCTTTCTACTCCAGCAATGATACCATAATTATTCCTTCCCTCCTCTTTCTCACCCCACAGTGGACTGACTACCTTCTATTCTCTGTGAAGGGTCCTCTAATCACTGGTGCCAAATGAGCCCTTTCTGTTCAAGCAGCATAGCTGCCATTTTCAGAGGGGTGGTATTGTTTACAAACACAAGTAGAAAAGTAGTTGTGATTAGCAACATCCATTTTACAGAGTATGTTCACCAGATGCATTTATTTACCAAGGGGAGAGGTCCAGGAGCTGCAGGCACTGCCTAACATTTCTTGAAGCACTCTAGAATTAAGATACAGCTTTCAGAGTGCTAGGAGGAAGCAGCTGCAGAAAAATGGCAAACCACAGTGTGTAAGGTATGATACTATTTGCGCAAAGAACATGAATAGAAATCCATTAGTGGCATAGGAAGCATTTTGTTTTCTTCTTATCAGTAAGTGTGAGATGTTTCAAAATGGGCAGGAGCAGCTGCAGTAAGGACAAAATTACCTTCTATTACTTGGATTTATTGAACAAAAGGCTCAGTTAAATCTAGAGTTTAGCCTAGCCTTTCTGGCCCTCAAGCTGTATATGTTCACTTACATTTTTCAGGTGATTATAACCATCATCACCTAACACAGACTACCTGAAATGTCCATTCAACATTCAGTTTACAAGGCGAGAGTCTGTGCATCAGATCTTTACCAAATGGAAAGATCACAGATGCTGCATTTGTTATATGAAACAATCAGTACGCAAACTTGTTAGGTGAAGTGTATCAGGCCAAAACAAAAGAAAAAAGAAGACAAAATGTTCTGACATCTTAAAGACTAATTGCTATCTTTTAATGTCATTTTTTTGTGGACAAGTCCACTTCCTGTCTGAGGAAGTGGATTTGTCCATGGAAGCGCAAATTAAAATAGGTATTTTTTTCTCTTTTTTTGGCCTGATATGCTAGCACAAATTAACATGGCTACCTCTTCTAAAACCGCAACTATAGTAAGGTGAATTCACCCTTGTCTCTATCATGTCAAGAGAGCCCCAGGTCCAAATTAGCAATATGTTACAAAAACTCTCCACAAATAACACAATTATGCCGTGATTTATTTTCTTTAACAGTAAAGGACAATATTAACCAAGGCATAATGGTAAATACCAAAAATAAGCACTGTGACAGTCATTGGTACGTCTAAAAACAACAATGTTTTTTCAATTCCATCTTTATTTTTAATCACACTCACTATTTATCAGAAACATCTGGCAGATACCCAAAATTAAAAAGCTGTTACTTCTTTTCAAATTGGTGGTGGTGGTGATGCGGGGCATAATTATGGTTTCTCTAAAGAAACTGCAGACATATTAATATTTCATTATGACAAATAAATGATCATTGCAATCAGATAATATTGTATTCATTCCAGCTGGAACAAACAGGTGTTAAATGTTTGTGTCCTTGCTAGAATGCTGCAATGGGCAGAGTGCTTGCCAGCCTATTCAATATGATCTGGTGTTTGAGAAAAACATTGTGTAACAGCAAAGCAAGTTACCCAGCCATTGTGGCCATCTGGTACAGGAAGAATGAGTGTAGCTATAGTTAGCAGCAACTTGCATTTTTAGGCACTAGCGTGCCACAATAATCTACATACCTTGTAAACAAATGCTACAGTCTTGGACACAAAGGAGTAAATTTCATAGAAATAATCCAGAGGATTTACTGCAAGCATGTTTATGATTGGGTAGCATGAAATGTAAGATAGTTTCTCCTGGAAAGAACTGTTGCTGAGCTTTTGATGTTTCACATCAGTAGGATTATGTCTCTGTACTTTTAGATTCATTCCTGAAGAAATATAATTAGAGACCCAACGGTAGTGGAGGCAGGTGATAATGATGATAATCTTGTAAGAGAAACAAATAAATCCCGAAAGTGCTTTTGATGAATTGGTTTAGGATTTAGACCATCTGCGGTCATTGGCCAATGAGCCCTATTTATTCATTCCATGCCAAAACTATCTGAATGTAAAAGCCACAGGACAATTTTTGTGACCTTTTAGATAGCGCCAGGATAAAATGCCCAGCAGAAAGGACAATTGGCAAAGAATTTGAGAGTGTAAGAAATAACGCCACCCACAACTTTTAGTTTAATCTGGGTACCAAAAATTCTGCAAAGCTGAGAAGGAGAGTGCCCTTATTGATGGGCTCAAACTGTACAGTTTACAGAAAAATTAAGTATACTCCTTTGAAATCCTTTCCACTGGATAGACTCGCCCCACTTGGAGAGGACTGGCTAGCCCCTTCCTCACCTTCCATGTGCAGAAAGTAGCAAGTCAGCAAAGAAGACAATTTAGCTGCCATGTAGGCTCTCCATACAAACAGGAGGAATTCCTCTTCTGCCAATTTGGTGCTTGCATGGGTAGAAAGCTATGTCCACTCCGCTGTAAACATGTTGAGCACATCTTCATAAAGAACAGCCTCCATCAAAGGTGTGATTTATAGGCTTCTGTCAGGTGGGCTCTTCACACACAACCAGAGCAGTGTGTTACCCTGTGTTCCTGGTGTACAGAGAAATGATTATGTACCAGTGGTTGACATTCTGCTGAAGCCTTGCCTCCCCCGCCACCCGCCACCCCCGTGAATGCTGTAAGGATGCAGCATTTGGCTTGCACTCCCCGAAGTCAGCCAGTTCCACTTTAATACAGGGTTAAGGAGGGGGGTAGGATTGACTCAAGCTATCTCTGTGGAGGTTTTTGTAAGTATTATGTCTTCTGAGAATGACATCAGCAAACAACTGCCTTTCTGTTTTCCAGTCGATTTCATAGGTGGATTTGACTCATATGGCTATCAAGGCCCGCAGAAGACTTCCCATTTACAGCTTCAGCCCATGTATATGTGAGTACTTAACTTCTGCTATGTCATATCGGTTGCCTGAGGCATATTAAAAGACGGTAAAAGAAATATGGTGTCACTTCGGATAGTCAGAATGTGTGGGTAATCTTCATTCAAGCAGCACTCTTCAGCACGAATGTTGCCTTTCGTTACCTTTCTATTCTATAAAATTTATGTCATGCTTAATGTTTAGTTTAATGGTTTAAAAATTCAAGTCTCAATATGACATACCTGTTAGGCAAGTCAGATTTTACTTGTGTCAGTGGCAATTTGCTTCAACTATGGCCAAGTAAAAATAGGGCTAATGTCTGAGATCTCAAATGGTTGATTGCTATCTTGAGCTCACAGACTATATACTATCTGATCTGAAAACTGGTTGTGTACACTGTGCTGTGTGCATGGAGTTTCTACTGGAGTTCTGTACTTCCATTAAGAGGTGCGTGCATATATGCACACATATTCCACTGAATATAGAGATGGTTACGTGTGGCTAACAGTGCACATAAGACCTGGATGAAAGGATTGGATTGACTTTACTGTGAGGAAAAGGAAGAGGAGTAGCCACTATTCAGAATATTTATTTATATGTATATTCTTCTGTTGGATGGCTCAGTGGTTTAGGTATCTGATTGCAGAGCCAGAGGTAGGGAGCTCAATTCTCCACGGTGCCTCCCTGGAAAAGAGCTAGCTTATGTAGCCATGGGCAAGCTGAAGAGTCCCAGGGTGCCCCCAGAAGACGAAAATGGCAAATCACTTCTGAGTATTCTTTACCTAGAAAACCATGGAAAGGTTTGCCATTAGAGATGGGGACAAATTTTAAAAATGGTGATTAATGTTGATTCATGATTCGTTAAGGTTAATGACTCAATGAATACAAATATATGAATATTCTTCGATGAATTGTCTGTACTTTAAATTGCTATAAAAACTGCTCCCCTAAGCAATTAGAGACAGCACATTTGCAGGGAAGCTTCTTCAGACACTTTTCTACAACTTCTGAAAGTTTGGTTAACAGTGGATAACGGACCCCTGAGTTATATAGTCACAAAGAGGACACCCCCAGGAAAGCTTCCTCCAGGTACTTAGAGAATCTGGAATCATAACAGAGCTTCCTATGTCCTTCCCCGACACACCTGCCAACTTTGGTGAAGATTGGAGACATCCGAGTTATTCACCCACAAAATGGGTCCCCCCAGGAGAGTTTACCACAGGGCACAGAAGCCCATTCTGCCTACTGGCTGCCGATGAGCTGATCTTCTGATCAGCTGATCGGTGGCCAGTAGACAGAATGGTGTTTTTTATTGTTTTTTAATAGGAAGGGAGTGTTGGTGGGGGAGGGGGAGGGCTAAAGTAGGGAGAGGAAGGGGTGGGAGGGTAGGCTGTGGAGTTGGCTGGTAGGCAGAATGGGTTTGTTTGGTTTTTTTAATACAAAGGATGAATAAAAACAGGTAAATATTCATCCCTTCGTATTCATGGGGGGTCTCTGGGACCCACAAATATGAAGGGAGGAATATTTAAGGAATCTGCTATTTTTGTCGTATTCAACTTTGTATGGCTCGATGCCGTAGCAATAAAATATGTATGTATATTTTCGTTGAAAAAGCCAATCTGTTTTTATATTTGTCCCCATCTCTAGTTACCATAGGTCAGAATCAACCTGATGGCATACAATTATTATTGTTATTATCCTTCCATCAAGGCAGCAAGCACTACATCATATTAACACAAATAATGTAGAGAAGCATTCACATCTCATACCGAGTATCTAATAAATCCTTTATAAGTACATTGATTGATTGATTGATTGATTGATTGATTGATTGATTGATTGATTGATTGATTGATTGATTGATATCAAGCTGTTTCCTGCTCATAGTGGTTTTCTCCAATGATCCTAGTTCTTATCACTGGGGAAGTGGGTGGTCCATCAGTTTGCACCCCAGTTCCAAGGTTTTGTTGATACTGACCTACTTTTAGCAACAAGGGTCAGTGTGCCCATAATGAGGCAATAATGTAGAGAGTCTCTCCCTGGAGATTCCTGGCGGCCCCGGTCCAGTGACTCAGTTCTTCTCTTCCTGGCATCCCCTTTAGTGTCAAGAGACAGGTGGCCATCAGTTCTCAAGGATTGGCTGTTTTCCTTTAGGGGCTATCAACTTCCCCCTTCCCATGTCCTCCTTATAGATATAGTTCCATTCCCCTGGGTGCTCTGGGTCTTCTTCTGGAGACTCCTTGGCCCGATGCACCTCTGAAAAGTCTTCTTGAGCATGCCCCCAGAACCTTTCCTCTGGGTCCTCCTCCATTCTCCTGGCTGAAACAGAACTTGCCTCCCTGACCTCTTTGGTCTAGCATCTCTGTTCTTGACAGGTTTTCTCTACCTGTTTCTTCTCCTCTCCTTGTAGCAACACTGCCTTTATATCCCCACATGTGCAAACCATTTCCCCCCATTCCTCCATGAGTCATTTCTTTCTTCCACCAGGTTTCCACCACCACCTCCACGAACAAAGCCCTGGTTTGAGACACAAGTTTCTGGGAGTGGGGCTTCTCCTCCTTTCCTGAATCCTCCCCTTCACCCTCCAGATCTCCTGACTGCTCAGTATTCCCATCAGGTCGCTTGGTCCATGCCCCAGGCCCTGAGTAGGAGGGCAATGGCCTCACCACTATCCTCTCCACACCCATGTCTTTGAATAAGCCTTAACCTACTTCAGGGTGCAAATCAAACTGGTAATTAATAAGTGATCTTGAAATTATAGGTTGGGTATTGAGGAATGTTTGTGGAATGTGGTGCCTTTTCCAAAATAGTGCTTTATGTCTGTATGTGCCCAAAGGTTTTTTGTTTTTTTGCCAGAGTGGTGTAAGCTTGCAAGATATTATTTCTTCCAGTCACCATTTGTGGCTCCTGGGTACTTAGAGCAATTCTAATCCCATTTCTTTCTTCATATAGTATACCTTGCCATCAACATATGGAGCCTTCTAGCTGAGATATTATCCCATTCTTTTTTATGTTCTCTGCTTTGAAAGTAGCTGATTGCATTTACAGAGCTTACCAACCCTGGCTGGGAAGAAAGCTGAAGGGCAAAACAAGTCTATATACATTTTGAAGCTTATAGCTAAGAAAAAGGAAGCCCAGTGAGAACATTTGAAATGCTGTGCCTTTTACTTCTGTTTTGATTCTCTGCTGTCAGAGCCCCACAGCCAACAGTTTCTGAGAGTTGTAGTCCAAAAAAGGAAGTTTTTTTCTGTATCTGAAAATAACCCATTCATAGAGAGGATCTGAAGCTTCCTCCCACCTCCATGTTCTGAAGTACACATGCATAAGAGATGTCCTGTGTCCTTTTTAAGTACCTCAGATGTAAACCATTGTATTTTTCTCACTTGATATTTAACATTTTCCAGCCAAGTCCCATATTACTGGGGTTTTTGTCTGTCTCTATGTGTTTTTTGCATTCTCTATTTACACAAAGACCTTGACAGTTCAGGGCAGAAAATAGGACCAGAGGAAAATGAGGGCTAAATTCCACTGACAATAAAATCTGTGTTCTGCTGAAAAGAACACACAACACAAATGTAAGCACGCACACACAAGACATGTGTGTACTACTCTGCCAGGGGAATGAATTATGCTGCTTCCCTGCCAGAGATCCATTTATTTCAAGGCAGAGGTACCATCCTTCACCCATTTTGTGTTACAGAATGTCAAGCATGTTTGCTTTCTGATTTTGCATAGGCAACCTGTGCTAAGCACATAAATTCCCTCAGATGGGCTATTAGGAGAGCAACACATACAGCTCTCCTACTGGCTTTGAGCTCTACAACTTGAGGACCAAATGCATTTCCTCTCTTGAACGTAGGAACACCCTCAGCCATTCGCCATTTCTGACCTCAATCATCTGTTGAATGTGAGGGGAAAGGACAGGGTCTGGGAGACACATTATATTTTGAAGGGCTTGAAAACTGTTTCCCCCCCCCACCGCACCTCAATCCCTTTAGGGCTTCTGAAGTACTGCCTCAGGTATCTATTAAGATACTGAAGATAGTGCACCAGCTGTCATGATCAGTCAAATGTCAGCATCATCCAGTATATTTTGATGCATGAAAAACTTAAAGACAGGTTTATGCCCAATACATTTGTCCATAGCATTCTGCTGGGATGAAATCACCTATTTCTATCCAGTTGCATAATGGTGTTTTTAGGATGTCAACTGGAAAGAAAAAAATGTGAAATTGGTCGTGCCAAAGGCAATTAAACCTCTCCTGTATCTTTGCAACACTGGATTATTTAAAATGAACCTCAGTCAAAACGTTTGAATGGAAGAATAAGCAAATATGCTGCATCTAAAGTAATAGATATTTCTTTTTTGAAAGTCAACTGGATTGCAACGTGAAGTCTGAAATAATTGGTTCACTCCCACATCTAGCCTCAAATTATGTCTAAACAATGTGTCTCCTAAAAGTATTATTGATCCAGTTCATTGCAGTGGACAGAATATCAGAGAATGTTTCAGGAAACGTGGAGTCACCCATGTAACTCACTTAAGGGTGCATGGCAATATGAAGTGACTTAAGGACATATAACAAGAACATACATGATGGAAAGGGAGAGTGCACTACCTCATCACTCATCTGCAACATCAAAGGGAGAGACTCCTCTATCTAGGGAATCTCTCCGTGATGTAACATCTTTATTTCCTCAGGTTTTAAAATGCATGAAGAGCCTGCCTGGACAGAGGAGGCTGCTCCCCTTCAGAAACTTGCCTTTCATCTCTAGAGGGGCAATGAAAAGATGTGGGGTGGTAGGCCTAGTGTGTCTTTTCTCCTTTCATTACTGTACATTGAATAAAGCTTAAATCTTGGATTAGAAACAAATGCACTTTAAAATAAAATATGCTAAACATTTTTCTTTTAGTCTTTATACTAATGCTAGCATAAGAAAGAATATGAATGTAATTCAGTATATTTAAGCATGCTAAGGTAGAGAGCTACTCAAATATGGTAGTACAAACCATGTTTATGATGCTGGCAAAATATCATTTTCTTTTTTCTCTCTCCTTTTTAGGTCAAAATAAAGGAAAGTGAAGCCTGCAGTTGGAGGACTGTAGGACCAGTCCAAGAACTTAATCTGGCATGGCCTTCTTGAGGGTTGCAAAAGAATGAGGGAAGTTTTAACTTCTCATCCACTATATAATAAAATAATCAGCGACAGAAGCCTTTCTTTCTAACAAATGCCGAAAGCAACACAGAAGATCCATTTTCTCCCACCTTGGATTTTCCAGGTTCAGAGAAGGAAGATTTAAAAGAAGAAACAGTGGCTCCATCTTCTGGTCACTTGTCTACTTTCCTCTCTATTGCTCCCGTCTCTGAATTGTGAAATTATCACATACGTTTTTTGATTCTTACTGAGGCTCTCCTGTACTCTGTTTGGAGCCATGTCTTCTTCGTCAACAAACAAGAAAGAAACCGTGATGACCTTGAAACAGAAGTCAATAGGCAGCAAGTTGCTTGTCCTAAAGGCTGTACAGTACATACTTGCCTTAACCCAGCCTCAGTTGCACATCAGAGAAATTCGATGTGGGCTTTCTGAAGTAACTTCCTTTAGGCTCAACCAAGCTGTTCATTAATTCTAAAATATGTCAAAGGTTGTGTCAGGTAATAGACTCTGCTCCCCAGCAGTTCCAGAGTTGGCTGTGTAAGAAAACTCTCTGCTCTCAGAGAAAAAGTGTTTTACTATGAAGCCTCCAGAATGTCTGGGATGTAAACATTTTGAAAATACTTCTGAAGGAACTGAAGCTCATTGGACTGTTGAAAAATGTCCGTAAAAGGAACTCTTAGTAAACTAGTATCTGTAAGAAACCACAAAAACAGTGTTCCTTAATCCCACTGTTTTTATTTACTGCACTGTAGGTGCTTTTATAAATGACTCTAACATGTCTTTTACTAATGATGGGGACATCTGCATATTTCTATCAACAGAGGCCAACTGAATATGTATTAACTATGTTTACTCTTTTATAACTAATTCCATTGGAAAATCCTATGTAAGTGAGCTTTTTTTAAAAGAAAAATGCAGCATATAATATCCTTTCTGGGTTTGGTTCTGTTTTTAGTTGGGGTGGGAGTAGTTGCGCTGGTGGCATTTTTTAGACCTTTTTTGTGGTATTTGGGGGAACCTGTTGTGTGTTAGAATGTGTATCTTATCTTCCTGTATTATTGTGGCTGAAAAAAAACTGTGCTGTTATGTAGTTGGCAAGAAGATGCCTTTGGAAACTTTACTAGTAGGTCAGTGTCTTCATGAAATACTCTTGAATCCTAGAAGCGTCTGTTTGTTCTGAATTTGAGCTATATATTCAACCATTACAGTGGCTTTTCATTGAGAAGGGAATTTTGCTCAGGCTTTTTTAGAACTTGAATTGCTCTCCTTTCTTTGTTTAAAACCTACATAAACGTATTACCCAGCTGCACTTGATAGGTTCCTCTTGGCATGGGCAAATTGCCCACCAAGTCTTCTTCAAGCAATTTACACTTGTCAAACATTTGACTTCTGTGTGGCCTGTAAAACCCATCATCCTCCATATAACTCCCATTGTTTGCTCCTATGTGCATCAATCTATTTACCTCCCCCCCACATCACTACCCAACGCACATTTTGGTATCTTTGCATGGATGTACTATGACACAAAAATTCAATGTGGATAGTGAACAACATAACATACATTCATTACAGAAGAAAAATAGATTCCTGATGCTAGCATTCTGTGGTAGAACTCTACATTAAAATAATGAGGAACATCACATAATATGGTGAATACCACTGCTAATATCAAAACAATAAATCTGCTAAGATCAAGTACCCTTATCAAAATATTATTTTCATTAATGATGTCATACTGGTATAGGTTTTCAAGGTGAGCCATCACATTATTTGTGTGCCAGTTCACCATTTTTTACTAGAGCCCAAAGCCACTTCTGTAAACCTGAAATTAACTTGCTGCCAGTGGAATTAATCTGGAATATGATGCATGAAAATTGTCTCCTTTATCCTGGTGGTTGTTGTTTGCACATTGGCTGTATTTAATATCACTTGTTGGGAGTTTTGATCTCGTGCACTCAAGTGAGAAAAGCAATGGACTAACTGCAGAGCAGGTGGCTGAAGGGTCATAATCCATGTCTAGGTTTCCATTTAGACCTGTGAAGCAACTGGATTAGTAAATGATTTTCCAGTGACTTTATATCCCCACTCAGGGAGAAGGACAAAGCCTGTTAAAAGATGAGCACATGTGAAGATTTCTACAGGTATTTATATGTCTTGACATGAAGGTCCTTACATGTATCAGATCTGTTAAAGCGGTATATTACACAGGGATTTTTTGTAACATCAATTATGTAACATATATAGCAGTTCTCTAAAATACTGCACACATCCATCTTTCTAAAAATTGTGTGCATATATCTGTTCTTCATATAATCACACATGTGAAGCAGTAGCAACATCCTGCCTGCTTTTGCTCTCTCAGCAATCCTTGTGAGGCTTATGGAACATGAGGAACTAACCAGGGGCATGCCATCAGTCCATGCTTCCTCCTTATTCAAAAGGCTCAAAAAGGCTTAAAGCATTTCCTTATCCCCAGTACTGCATGCCTGGTCACCATTTTAGGTCACAGTTTTCCTGTTGCTGTTGCAGATTGTAAACAGGATTTTCCCTAGAAAGTATAGCCTTCAGCATATATATCCCTCTATGTTTTACACAAGCAATTGCATCCAGTATAGCACAAAACTGAACTAGAAGAGGGGAGCATGGCCCCCTATTTCTCTTAAGTTTTATGCCCATTTCTCAACACTGCCAGACCTGTAAGCATTCTCATATCAGTCCAAGAACTGAGAAACCTTCATATGTAGTATGGAAAATTTTGCAGCCTTAGATTCAAGCAAACTGAATCAAGCATGACCACTGAGTGCCATCAGTTTTGGGGAGCATTACCTAGTAGGCCTTCTCAACCTGGCTGGGAAGTTTCAAAAAAATTGAGAATAGGAGAGAAGAAGCGGAACAGAAGTTTCTACTTGAGTGTAGTTGTGTGTCTTTCCCCACCAGGGCCAGGTATTCATTTCAAAAGGGACTTCCAATTATGTGGCCTCTCATTCTGTTGCAGAAATACCTATTGAAATTGTTCTATAGGCGCACCCCTTCTTCCATGTGTGTAGATGTGAATTGCAGAACCTTCCTCCTAACAGTGAGTGTGAGTGTGTTTGCGTGTCTGTCTGCATTTGCAAGATGTTAGAGAAGGAAGAATTCTCCTCACTTCTATACTAGTTTTGGCAGGAAGAACAGCAGAAATGCTTGGGATTAGTGCTCTATGAGGTGAGAAGAAAAACCCAATAAAGAACATGGCAGGTGTCCTTCTCTAAGGAACACACCTGAAATGAAAAGACTTAACAGTCCTGCTGTGACCTAAACAAAAGAGGGACGCAGGACATGGTTAAGATTTCTCCTCCTGCATTGCAAGAGTGCTGGGAGAATTCTGAAGCATTAGGATAAGAATTCTGCATTGCAAGCTCATGCTGCTGGGTATACAGGAATAACATACAGACACAAAAACAATGTTAGGCCTTCATTCTTGCTTGCACTGCATCTAAATCACTACTGCCAAAAGTTGCAAGGCTGTCAACTACTACAGCAAATAAATGAATGGATCTATGGAAAGAGTTTTAGGGCACAGTAGTTTGAGAATATCTGATATACTGTTGTTGAATTGTACAGCTGTATCCTCCTCAAAACCCAGTGAAGAATGTTATTTTTCTAGACTGGGCTTTTTGTTGTTCTTATAAATCCAAATATTCGGCAGGCAAGTGTTAACAATCCAAATGTCTTTGGGTTTTTTTCTTCCTTAGAGTCATTTGTTAATTCTGAATGTATTTTTAACAAAAGGTGAATTTTTTTTGACTAGTGTAATTTGCATTTTAAGAAAATAAATGGGGAAAAATACAGGTTTCCAAGCTTTTCATGGACTGCTGCTGTTTTTCCACACAAGTTGCCCGGATTATGGTTCTCATAGGAGGCAAAATATTTTTAAAAGGAACAATTATATTATATTTACAGGAAGGCAATTCTGAGCTATGCTCCACACAGATATGTCAGCACCAAACGGAAATTTCTGGGTCGTGACATCATTTAAACTCAGTCATAGGTAACTGGTATTTTCATTATCTACTGACACTAAAAGGCCTCTTTTACAAGGCTGACTGTAATAGACTCACTGCCATTTAAAATGTCTCCTTTTTTATTTTGTTTTTTTGTCAGTGAATTTAGGTTTATGCTAGCCTTCCGTGCTAAGTACTGCATTAAGTAACTGCTGTTGACTGATATCTGTTTTAATACGGTATCCTCAAAAGAGCCTAAACTTGTATCTGCACTACACAGTCTGTAGAATCCTGGGATATGTAGTTTGGGGGCATGCTTAAGAATTCTTAGCTGTAGTTTGGAGGAGTGCTATAGAGCAATGGTCCCCAACCTTGGGCCTCCACATGTTCTTGGACTACAACTCCCAGAAGCATTCACCACCATCTCTGCTGGCCAGAATTTCTGGGAGTTTAAGTCTAAGAACATCTGGAGGCCCAAGGGTGCAGATCACCGCTCTAGAGCTCTGTGGTGGAGAAGTCTAAGGACCTCACCAAGCTGCAATTCCCAAAATTCATGGTGAAATAAAACTGCTACAAAAGTATAGCACAGATACACCTTAAATAAGATAGTTGAATAGTTAGTGACTGATGTACACCCTGGAGGAGCTCTTGCTAGGATTTCAAACTTCCTTTTGACCAGATAGCCACTTGATATCAATTTCTGCAGAAAGGGCTGGAGGCCAGAGCTTGGTGGTGCCCTATGGACACCACTGAGCTCAAGGCACCATTATATCCTAATCAGTTTCCAAAGAGAATCAGCCCTAGACATTCTACTGATTGAAGGACAAAATAGCGTGTTTCTAAGCCCATTACATGTAAAGAATCTTGACAGGAACATTAGCTGAATCTTTGAGCCTGTTGGTTTCTAAGCCCATTACATGTAAAGAATCTTCACATGAGCTGAATCTTTGAGCCTGTTGACAATGTAATCATCAGACTAACTTACAAGGGATAGAGTAGGTTGCACAACACTTAGTTCCATCTTATGATAACTCGTTGCCCTCATTTGATGCCTAAAGTGACTACTTTATTCTGCCTAGAGGCTAGTCCACATGTCCTGGGTCCACGTATACATCACAACCTGCTGCTACTGGCATGGTAACACAAAGCCCCTTAAGTTGAGATATTAGTGACTTAAGTATCTTGCATCTTGAAAAGGCGGCAGGAGAAGCTGAGACAACATATGCTCCAACTGACCCTTGCTACCAGGAATAGTCTGTGAGTTTTTAGTTCCTCCCTTGCATTTTTCAGTTCCTCCTCTTTGGGTTTCCCCTGTTTTTAACTTTTAAGGACTTAATTTTTATTTGTGAACATTTTTAGCAAGGGACTCCAGAATTGAATTCCGAGACTGATTAAATGATGCATTTTGTTTCTTGTGACTAGGCATATAAACTTATGTGCCCCAAGCAGTTCATTACCTCTCATTTCATACTGCAACTGTCATCTGTTTTGCATTGCTGAAAATACATCATGGGGAAATCTGTTTCTTTTGTCATATCTTTAATCCTGAGAATGATTACCCTCTTAGCTTTTAAACAGGCGCAACAGCCTCAAAGGCAGCCCCACATAGCGCATTACAAATGCAACATGTCGTTGTTGTTTAGTCGTTAAGCCGTGTCCGACTCTTCGTGACTCCGTGGACCAGAGCACGCCAGGCCCTCCTGTCTTCCACTGCCTCCCAGAGTCAAAAATACAGCATATAGACAGGTTAAACAGAGGGCAAGGAATATTTAGCAATCACTAAAACAAGGGACTTCTAAATATACTCCGGTCTACATCACCTTAGCTGTTATGTCATTCAGGGAAAGTTTGTACAAGAGTTTCTTCTTTTTTCAAATAATAGATACACTCATTTAGTACCTTCACTTCCTGCCAGCACATTCCAACACAGGTGCACAGCTTCAGGGGGATGCCCCTGGATTTGACTCTGAGCCTGGATGCCCAGGTTTTGGCTTTGATCAGGAGTGCCTCTGCATAATTAAAACCAATGCACCAGCTGTGGCCATTCTGATAATTAAAACCAATGCACCAGCTGTGGCCTGATCTGGTCTGATCTGGCAATGGTGGCACATGGATTAATTACATCTTGGCTGGATGGATTACTGTAGCATGCTTTATGTGGGGCTGCCACTGGAAAGTTTTTGGAAACACCAGTCGGTCTAAAAATGCAGCAGCCAGATTGTTAACTGGGGCTGGTTAAAGGGAACAAACTGTATTAACTTCCCTTTCATAGCAGGTCCATTGGCTGCTGATCCACCTCCAAGCACAATTCAGTGCTGATTTTACCCTATAAAGTCCTAAATGGCTTGGTTCCAAGCTATCAAAAAGACTGAACCTTTCTTTAGGAGCCCACCTAAGTATTATGGTCATCAGAAGAGGTCTTTACCTTGGTCCCACTACCTTCCCACCTTTGTGGGGTTCATGGAAGAGGGCCATTTCTGTTGCTGGAATTCCCTCTCATGGGAGCTGGCCACATTTTTGCTGTCCTTCCACAAGGAGATGAAGATCTTTCTGTTCAGACAGGCTTTCTTTTAAATGATTAGTGGACCAAGGTTAGTTTTTAAAGGGATAATTTTATTCTGTGTTTTATTTGTGTTCTAAGAACAAGTTGCTAAAATAACTATGAACACAACACAACCAGTTTCCTTCAATGAACAGAGCAACTGCACTAACAACTAATGTGTGAAATGCTTCAAGATTGGGACAGTCAGGTTCACATTATTTTCCACTGACTACATGGAGTACAAAGCAATGTGAATCAGCCTAGAGATTCCCTCATCCATATTTTCCCCTCTATCACTGGGGCTTCCACTTCCCCCCCCCAAACTGAATGCATTCACGTAAGTTCAGATTATGATCACCTAAGCAGGTGCAATGGATGACTAAAAGCTGGCTTTCCCATCTTCTTCATTTGAGGTGGGGAGAGGGGAAACAAAGGAGCATTTATGGGGGTGTCAGTTTCCTACCACCAAGCACCCCTTCATTTCCAGATCATTTCTTAAAGCAAAGGCTTGTGCTAGTACTAAAGTGCTAGAGCAGCTGGAGGGGGGGAGGCAAGCAAAGAGGAAATCAGTAACAAGGACGTGTTAAAGTAACATGTTAAAGTAAAAATACCATAGCCCTGTCTCCTGCAAATCTGATAGGCTGCAGCACAGCTATCTTAACAAGGTGTTTAGAAGTGTAGATTGATAGTTTCCACCTCTCTCTCTGCTAATCTTTGTGATCCACTAAAGTAAATTACAAATAGAAGAGTAGTCCAGATAGGCAGGGTACAAATCAAATAAATTAATAAATAAATAAATAAATAAAATAAGGGAAACAAAATGCAAGGGAGATAGGGAAAGTTACCAAAAATTGAATGCAGATTTCCAAAGAATAGCAAGGAGAGACAAGAGGGCCTTCTTAAATGAACAATGCAAAGAAGAGGACTGGAAAAGATCAGTCTACATCCCAATCCCAAAGAAGGGCAGTGCCAAAGCATGCTCCAATGGCCATACAATTGCACTCATTTCACCCGCTAGCAAGCTTATACTCAAAATCCTCCAAGATAGGCTTCAGCAGTAGGCGGACTGAGAACTCCCAGAAGTACAAGCTGGATTTCAAAGGGGCAGAGGAACTCAAGACCAAATTGCTAACATGCTCTGGATTATGAAGAAAGCCAGAGAGTTCCAGAAAGACATCTACTTCTGCTTCATTGACTATGCAAAAGCTTTTGACTGTGTGGTCCACAGCAAACTATGGCAAGTTCTTAAAGAAATGGGAACGCCTCACCACCTTATCTATCTCCTGAGAAACCTATACGTGGGACAGGGAGTAACAGTTAGAACTGGATATGGAACAACTGATTGGTTCAAAATTGGGAAAGGAGTATGACAAGGCTGTATATTGCCCCCCAGCTTATGTAACTTATACATCATGCGAAAGGTCGATCTGAAGGAATCCCAAGCCAGAATTAAGATTGCCGGAAGAAATATCAACAACCTCCGATATGCAGATGATACCACTCTGATGGCAGAAAGTGAGGAGGAATTAAAGAACCTCTAATGACGGTGAAAGAGGAGAGTGCAAAAAATGGTCTGAACCTCAACATCAAAAAAACTAAGATCATGGCCACTGGTCCCATCACCTTCTGGCAAATAGAAGGGGAAGATATGGAGGTAGTGACCAATTTTGCTTTCCTGGGCTCCACGATCACTGCAGATGGTGACAGCAGCCACGAAATTAAAAGACGCCTACTTCTTGGGAGGAAAGTGATGCCAACAAAAGTCCACATAGTCAAAGCTATGGTTTTTCCTGTAGTGATGTATGGAAGTGAGAGTTGGACCATAAAGAAAGCTGTCCGCCAAAGAATTGATGCTTTTGAATTGTGGTGCTGGAGGAGACTCTTGAGAGTCCCCTGGACTACAAGGAGATCAAACCTATCCATTCTAAAGGAAATCAAGCCTGAGTGCTCACTGGAAGGACAGATCCTGAAGCTGAGGCTCCAGTACTTTGGCCATATCAAGAGAAGAATCCCTTGAAAACACCCTGATGTTAGGAAAGTATAAAGGCAAGAGGAGAAGGGCATGTTGGAATGTAATATTCATTCATTGAAATGCAAGCCCCCGCCTTTACTAGAGGATGAGGCTGTTTATAAATCTGAAATCTCTTCAGTCATGTTCTTTGCCAAATGTGACATTTTGCACATTTCTGTACAACCATTTCGAAGTTTCATCTATATTTATTAATGCTTAATAGAGATTTGGCCTTGTAAAGTGACCG